TCTGTGTGCGCTAGACCCAAACGGGCGTTATGCACATGATGATATTTTAGCAAATCATCACTTTTTAAAATAAAATATATACCCCATAAAAGCTGGGTCGGGGTCTATTTATCTATTTTTGAAGGAGCCTAATCCAGAGGCAATAATATTGACGCTAAAAAAACGTAACATTAAGTTGCTCATCTGTGGCGTATATTGACTCTACTCTATTCAATAGGAGGTTCTTGTCGCTTAATGAAAAAGCTCTTGTCAAGACTTCAATGAATACCAATTAAGGTTCACCAAAAACTAGAATAAGGGCATAAGTAATCTGAGATAGATTAAATTTTTTCTCGTCTAGAGCATGCTGCAGCTTCATCCTGGACTAAGTCTCTTCGGCAACCCCAAATGAACTTAAAACTGAGTCTTGAATATTAAGCTATCATCCCGAAAGATAACCACCGGCACCAGTGGGTGGTAATTTGAGGATTAGACCTAGGCGCGAATTAAAAAACCCGGGGAAGTTAGGAAATAAGAACTTGTATCCGCCCAGAGCGTTTAAGGGTACATAGATACTTAGAATTTTAATTTTGAATACTGGGATGAGTATATTTAGCAATGTCAATAATTTTACTTGGTCCTTCTCTCATTCTTGGAGCAATGAGGTTTTTACTTCCGCATCACAACGAATTTGAAATCAAGTCAATCAGCTACGAGTGCCAGTTCTTATTTGGGACCTACTGAGAATTTTGAAACCCTTACATTTTATGAAGAATTACGAAGTTTCATATTTTTCTGTTTTTGGACCGTCATTTGATATGCTTAACGGAAGCATAGGCAACACTTTCCTCATATGTAATAATGGTCGGGATATGTCGGGAACAATTTTTTAAATCGTCAATATTGACAGGCAATGGGAAGCCCAAAGTTTGACAAATTTTCTTGAATTGCAACCAACTGACGGTTTTATACTGAGGCCTTTGACTTTAATATACTACTTCATTCTCAGGATTGGGAAAGGCCTCTAAGGCTATCCAAAACGGCAGTCTAGTGCTCATAGATGCCTCGTACCAAGGATAGTTTCATTCATTTCCGAAATACCACACCTGTCTCTCTTTTGAATCTTCATATTGGCTCTTCATTCTTAATCCACATAGTTCAGTTTTCATATTTTTTTCCCTTTTTATAAGGCATCGTTTCATATCAGAAATGCGCTAATGAATACAAATTAATTTCATGTAGGAGTTATGGCCTTTATCTCGATGGTAGTCCCTTTTTCCTGTATTTGGTTAGTTTTACCTCGCTCTCGAAACTTTTTCTGAAATGGACTCTAAATCCTCTGAAGCTGTACTTATGCCTAAAAGGCATAACTTCCCTTGAATATTTTCATTGATTTGGCATTAAAAACCCTTAACAGTAATCCTAGGAGAGGGATTTGATTTCGATTACAGTCGTTAGCAGACACTGGTATTTGGCAGCAGAAAAAAATTAAATTAATACGAAGAAAAGTAAGTTTTCTAGGAGTAAATTGGTTTATAATTGTTGAGCTCAATCCCATTTCGAATAAAATGCCAGCATTCTCAGCTAATTTATTCGGAGGTCGAACCAACTAAAAGATAATTTTTGGCACTTTTCAGTTCGTTTTACTGGAATTACTTTGCTGATCTTGTAAACAAATGTCGACTTGAAGGCACATAGGCACGCACAAAGAACAAACGCACATATGAAGATAAGCTGGGTTTCGAAAAACCCCTTAGTAGCTTGAAACTAGCTACCACTAGAAGGCGGGTGGAAGGTATTCGTAAATTGGAGGGTCGCCTTAGACTTCTGACTGATGGATTGTGCAATGACGTCGGCAAACACAAAAACGGGTGCATAGGTCTATGTATTCAGAAATCGGAGGCGGCTGAGCATATTATTACGACAAGACAACAGATTGAATGCTCTAAAGCCCAACGTTTTGCCGGATACGAGGTCTTCACAGCTAAGCAGAAAATCAGAAAGTCAACTGGAACTAAAAAGGCAAAGAAGATAATGAATAAGAGGAACAATTGTAGGAAACTAAGCAAGAAATGATTGTCTCGAAGCCCTACCTATAAACGACCAATAATCAAGAACTCTCTCTGGATGCTGGGCAGTACTAGAGAGAGAGAGAGAGAAAGAGAGAGAAAACAGGAAGAACTACCGTGTAAGAGAAGACATGCCCAAACCTGGTTTTGGATACAAACTTGCCAACTAACTCGTGAATGTTGCATACAAACAACTTACATGCATCTACAAAGCTCAAACAAGCCAAGTATAACATGATCATATGCTAGTTTATTTGCATAAACAAAAGTTGTGATTACATCCGCTTCCGTTCTTGCATCAACTGCACTCGCGTGCATGCATGTAGTAAAGGTACAAAGTAGCCAACCAAATCATGGAAGTTGCTTGACCTTGTTTTCGCAACTTGGTAGGAAGACTTAGAGGAACGCACATAGTCCGGAGTCCATTGTATGTAACATCATTTCCAGAGTAGGACCATGGACGTGGTACATTCCCAGACGTTTCGCCTGTATAGTCAGTGAATATCGCCATTCTTAGCACCACACACAACTCGTCAGAGACAAGTAAAGAC